GATGAGCGGTAGTGCCTGGCTCGGGCTCTGGCGTCGCTGCGAGCGACTGCCATGACAACACCGCGGTGACAAACCCACTGCCGGATGGCATCACGCCGCCATCGGCATGCTCGGCGCGGGGGTTGCTGTGGCGACCGGCCCTGGCGGGTACCGCTGCGCCTCCATCTCTTGGGGATGCGCCAGCACCCCTTTGTCCCCCAAGGGGAAGCGGAGGGCTGTGGCGGAGCACCCCCGCCCGCCCCAGCCCTGTGCCGGAGGGGTTTCGGCACGGAGCACGGTGCCGGCAGCACCTGCCCATCTGAGGGCCGGGAGGGCAGGTGCCCCGCAGGGTGTCCTGCGTCCTGTCCCAGCGTGGGGCCACCCCTGTCCCCAGGGAGCTGAGCTCGGTGCCCTGCTGCCATCGGAGCACGGCTAATTGCCCCGGAGGGCTCTCGGAGCCCGGACCGCTCTGCCGGGAAGCGCCCGAGGAGCGCGTGTTACCGTTTGGTGTCCGTGGATTAGTGAAATCACCTGAAATCCATTTAAGTTGTTGCGGCAGCTTCGTGCCATACTCGAAACCGAGGTGCGCGGGATCGCACCGCCGGCACCCCGAGGTCCCCGGGACACCCAGCTTGCTTCTAGGCACTCGCACGGCAGGAGGAAGGCCACCCCTCCTCTTCCCCAGCGCGGGACCCCTCGCACTGGGCACCCGGTGAAGGGGCATTAGAGCAGCTTTCAGTGTGGTGGCAGTGGAGCGGAGCGGCACGCTGAGGTTTTACGAGCTTTTACAGGCTGCGTTTGCCTTCCTGCCTCCCCTAATGATGCTCTCAGGATGTGCTGGATAGCGGATAGCTGTGCGCTGCTTAATTGTGTTTGGGAGATTTTTTATTTGCGCCTCCTAAATGGGGAGCGGGCGGACGGGCTCCCGGGGGACGCGCGGGGGGTTGGTTCTGCACCTGGGGGGCTTGGGCTGGAAAACGCAATGTAAATAAAGCCATTAGCGACACCACAAAAAAACAAGAGAAAAAAAAAAAAAACCAATATGAAACACAAAAAAAAAAAAAAAAAAAAAAGAAATGATGCAGACGAGGCGCTGCGGATCACTGGCACCGCAGCTGCCGTGAGCTGCTGCCACCTCCCTCTGTCTACAGAGCGGCAGATGTGAACCCAGGCAGGCTCCCGGCCGGGCTGGGGATGCACCGGCCCGGGGGATGCAGGAGCCGGGGGATGCAGGACCCCCGGGACACGCTCCGTCCCTGAGGGATGCACCAGCCCCGGGGCCTGCACCGGCCCTGGGTGCCGCACAGCCCCTGCAAGGGCCGCCCAGGACGTGTCCCCACCGACGGCAGGCTGCTGCACCGGCACTGGAAACCAGTTTGCTGTGGCTTGCGGGGCCATCCCCAACCAGCACTCACTGGGGCCGGGCAGCTCGGGGATGGCTGTGCTTCTCCAAGACGTGGTCCCCAGGCTGGGGTGGCACGGCTGCGGCACGTCCCCTCAGCACCGTGGGCTGCTTCGGTGCTCGCGGGCGCAGCATCGCTGCCGGGCATCCTCCCGTGCGTGGCGGGGGGCCGCAGCTCTCCGAAGGCAGCAAGTCGCTTAGCA